ACCGAGGGCCCTACATGTGTTTCCTAGCAGGAACTGGTGCTAGTTTGGTTTAATTCGGCCGAAAACAGCCAACCCGAGGCGGATCGCTGCCATGGGCGGCGGCGCCGTCGCCGGAGCACGGCGGAGCCGCCGTGCCGAAATTCTGAAATTGGCCGAGGAGGCCCTGGGTCTGATTTAGAGTTTTTTGGGGACATGTGCAGGTACTGGAAGTGTATTTCAGTTTCCAAAAAAAAATTCAAGAAATCTAGAGACTGCCCGTAGGCACAGTGAAAAATCGATTTTAGACTTCGAATCAAGTAAGGATCTCTCACCCTATTTCGTATCACGGCATTAAAGCTTAATAAATGATAAAACGGTATTTTATGAATTAATAGATATGTATAATTAATTAAGGTTTAATGGGGCCCAAATCTGATATATTTTCATCAGTTGCTGTTTTAGTTATTTTACAGTTTTAAATGCATTATGGTGTTTGATATATTTATTTTATGATTTTGAATGCATGAATCACTGTTTACTTCACTACTGCTTGATTTTGTGAATCCGATGATATGCATGCATTGTTGGATGCTCGTAACTGGTTTAAATATTCATGATTATGTGAGAAACAGAAAATTAAGAAAAGAATAGAAAAAGTATGTGAATTGATAAATGGATATGTCGACAGCCTCACTAAATATCCTGAGAGATGGTGGACGGACCGGGTCCATAGGGAACCCTACCGGGAACGTTGTCTCTCATACTAGATGGGGTATGAAGACTTTAAATATTTTGGCGCTCATACCGAACGGGGTATGGGGACGGCCCGCTTCACCCTCATATTGAATGGGGTATTGAGGTTTATGGTTTTGGCGCCCATACCAGACGGGGTATGAGGATGGCCCTGTAGTTAAGTTATTTAGGTGAATGGTTCACGTGTAGCAGGGAACCTTATGGATCTTCATGGATACTGGTAGGTTGGTAAAAGAGGGAAATTATTGCCTGATGATTGAGATATTAAAGTATGATATGTGTTATGTTACAGAGTGCGTATGATTTCATGATATTATAATGTTATTGTTTTCATAAGTTGTTTCCATTAATCTCACCGAGGTAAGTGGACAGTAAATAGTTTTATTATTGATAAATAAATTTGTTATAAATTATGCTCCATTAGTCGTTTTTGTTTTCTACCAACCTTTACTTCTGTGACAGTGAGATAGTATGACATCTTTACTGAGCTAATGTAGCTCATTCCTTACTTAACCATTTCAGATCATGAGGACTTTGTTCCCGAGCCTGTTCCGCAGGAAGACGGCGAGTAGATGTCTAAAGATTTTATAATTTTCCTTACAGTATTCATTTCTATTATTTACTTTAGTTAGTTTATTCTTTCATACGTTTAATACGTTTTGGTTATTGTGTAAAGGATGTTAATATAAATATTTTATTTCGCTTCCGCATTTAGAATTTTTATATATACGTTTCCTTTTAATTTTCGGGGCCATTACAATTGAGAATATATAATTGTATTAAGAACTAATGGTAATCAACTTATAAAATTTAATGTAATTAATCTATAAACTCAGCTAATTATATCTGTGGGCCAAATTATTGATGCCACCAGAAGAAGAGGGTACTAGTACAGCGCACTTTAACACGTCAATTGTGGAATTAAAAACACCTGCCTGTGTCGTAGCATCTATTTCTTTTGCTCTCTGCTCGATTTCATTAAATTTGGATTCACTTCTGCTAGTGGGTTCGGCCTCTTTGAAATTTTAGGTAAAGGCTCGACATACCCAATGCATCATTTGGAAAAGTTGTTTAGTTTGTGCTTGAATTATGACGTGTTTCTATATGTACTGGTTTTAAATTGAACTGGGTTTTGATATGGGTGAGAATGAGGTAAAAGATGGTAGTTAATTTAGTTACAAAGCTTGGTAAGAATACTCCATTGTAAAACATTTTAGGTTGATGAATTCTAGAAATCCTGAAATCTAACTCTAAAGTAGCAAGAAAGAAGGAATTAAACACAACTAAACAGTAGGCGACCTATATGTCATAAACTACATGAATCTATTGGTGTTGTTCTACCCTAGATAAGATGATGATGGAAGTTTTATCTTTCTAAAAGCGAGTCCATCATTTTAATAAGGTCTTTCTCTATTTATCTGCAAGCTCACCTGGCCATGTCGTTAAGGTAAAACTTCCTTTTGAATACAAAGTTTTTTGCTTCTGAATTGTAAAGCTTTTCAACATCTCATCTTGTTCAGGAATATCTTCAGTAGTATAGTTTTTCTTGGAAATACTGCAGTGTTGATTTTTCTTTTTTGGGTTCCTCAGAACGATCTCTATATGCAATTTAATATTAAGTTTCTTGTTGGGAAGAATCTACGATTCTGAACCTTCATTCTGTGGTATCTATTTTGATGATGATTCCATGAAATAAACTTTCAATTCAATGGCCAAAAAAGGTTGTCTCAGGGCTCAAATGGGGGAGTTGCGGAAGGCTCTGCACTTTCTTTGTTCGATGGAATTCTGGAGAATGAGGGTGTTATGGACCATCTCTGTACTCGTGTCTTACTTGCGGTTGCTTATGAGAAGACTCTTCTCTCCATCATCTCGCTCCTGTTATAGCTGCTCTCCTCCCAAAACCAACTGCATTAGCCTTGTTTGTGTCATAATTGGCGTAAAAAACTTTTTTCATGCCTTTTGAGTGAATTGCTAGTGCTTTTATCATTTGTTGCCTTCCCTTTATAGTTCTTTAATGCTCTCTCTCGACTCTCTTGTTTGCTCAATTACTTTGTTTCAGGCTAAATCTGGTTTTTATGTATTCCATCTTATTTTTTCCAACACATACAATATTATACCAGAGACGAAAAATGTTTCTTTTTTTTCAGGTAGATGTAGGTATTGATATTAGTTGGTTCAAGTCACAACATTCTTCCATTTCATCTCTTGCAACTATGATTTAATAAATTATTCAACCACAGTGGGCTAAATTCATGAATTTTCTTTTCAATTTTGACAAGATAGATCAAAAGTAAAAATGACCTTAGTATAATTACAGTGAAATGATTTTTTTCAGGCATTCTTATTGCCTTATTAAGAATCTCCAAAAAAGACAAATCATTATCATGTTATTCGAACTCTGAAAACTATTTTTTTAATAGTATAATATATATAATAGTTAGTTTTTTTTTTCATCATTTTGGAAATTATGGGTTATGAAATACTGAAGTTTATGTTGCTTTACAGCCCGAAGGTCTTCTCATTTGTTTTTAAAGATATAGCTTATGTTTTAAATTGCTGCATTTCAATCAGCTTCACTATGACATGATAGATGGTTGTAATAATTACCTGATAAACTATGACAGGCATCAAGAGTGGGGATAAGGATGTCCATCTCAAAGCTTTGAAGTTTAGAAATTCTCTTCAAAGCCCATCTCAAAGCTTTGAAGTTTAGAAATTCTCTTCAACGGTGGTTATGTGATTCAGATCTTTACTCCTCAATCCAACTTTTGATTAATAATGTCGGATACTGGCAACGTCGAGTCGGCTCACGACGGGAAGGATATGATTAGTAATAATCTCAGTGCTTTATTTTTGTCTTTTAAATGTCAATTCAAACAAGTTATGAACATTGTGAAAAATTGGCTCTTCAGATATGAGAAGGAACAACTATTATTGAGAGTTTTTTTTCTCTCCAAATGAAGTCAAGTTTGGTTGATTTAGAATTTTATACTTCAATAATAGCTACCTTTTAGCTTTAATAATATTTCATAATATGGAATCACAACCCATTTGGCTGACAGTAAATGTAGTCCTTACTGCCAGGTGAATTGTTCGTGATTTCATATCATGAAGTATTATTAAAGCTAAAAGCAACTGTTATAAAAGTAAAAAACTCTAGATCAACCAAACTTGACTTCACTTAGAAAAAAAAAAAAAAAAACTCTCAATAATAGTTGTTCCTTTTCATGAGACATGAATGGTCAATTTTCCCAAATTGTTTGCTGTTCAAAACTGTTTGAATTGACATTTAAAAGACAAAAATAAAGCAATGAAATTATTATTAATCATATCCTTCTGTCGTGAGCCAGACTTGATGTTGCCAGTATCCAGCATTGTTAATCAAAAGCTGGATTGAGGAGCAAAGATCTGAATCACACAACTAGTCTTGAAGAGAATTTCTAAACCTTAATATCTCTGCTGGGAAGATAAACGTGTCAACTTGTAAAGCTTTGAGATGGACATCGTTATTCCCACTCTTGATGTCTGTCAAGCAATTATTACAACCATCTATCATGTCGGAGTAAAGTAGATTAAAATGCAGCAATTTAAAACATAAGCTATACCTTTAATAACAAATGGGAAGACCTTCCTGCTGTAAAGTTTCATAACCTATAATCCCCAAAATGATGAAAAAACAATTAACTATCATCTGTATTATAGGATTAAAAAAGTATTTTTTTTGAACTAGAATAACCCTTTATCATGTCAGACAACCAAACAAACATGATAATGGTTTATTTCCTTTGGAGATTGTTAATAAGGCAATAAGAATACCTGAAAACAATCATTTAAATGTAATCAAATGAAGGTCATTTTTACTTCTGAGTTATTTTGTCAAAATTGAGAAGAAAATTCATGAATTTAACCCACCATGGTCGAATAATTTTATCAAATCATAGTTGCAAGAAATGAAATGGAACAATGTTGTGACTTGAACCAACCAACGTCAATACCTACATCTACCTGAAAAAAGGAGACAGTTTCCTTCTCTAGTACAATATTGTATGCGTTGGAGAAATAAGATAGAATACATACCCAGAATAACATAAAAACCTTCGCTTGAAAGTTCCAAACGTTGCAGCTGCCCCAAAACCAGATTTAGCCGAAAACAAAGTAGTTGAGCAATTGAGCAAACAAGAGAGGAAAGAGAGTTTTAGATTAAATAAGTTTTAACACCAGTAATTTTCCTGGTGTCAAATGGTCGCTGAATAAGTATTGAACACATATTTCATCCAAAAAAAAAGGTGTTAAAACATAGATCTCACCCGAAAAAACAAAAATAAATGTTAATGAACATACAAACACTCTGCCCCTTCGAAACAAAATAGCTGATCATACTCCAGTTACAAAATGGCTTTCTTCTCTTTTATACACACCAGAAAAAATATTCAGCCCCTAGGCTTTCTAAACAACAATGGACTCCTTTGATAAAATATGAAAATAAATATACAATACCTCTACTCCATTGAAGAAGAAATTTGCTGCTGTGTTTTCACGTCAAGCTTCAAGCTTTGGATCTGTAAAATAGAAAGGAAATTGCAGAAACCCAAGGGTTTCTGGTGTGTGTCGGCGCAGAAGAAGAGAAGAGAAGGAGAAATCCGGTCAAGGGTTTTCTGGTGCAGAAGAAGAGGTATTTGTACCTCTTCTTCTGGTGGAGCAGCAGCCAAAACGCACCGTTTAAGGAAACGGTGCGTTTTGTTCCCATATGGAAGCAGCAGCCCATTTCCAACGGGCCTTTTAACAAAAAAGAATAAGGTTTCAGTCCTTTCCATGGCTGAACTCACCATTCAATTCTATGGAATGTTTATCATCTAGCCTCAGGACCCTTCTGCAAAAACAAAAAACACATAGCATGATAAAACACCTTGTCTCCTGTGATTGGTCAACACGAGCCAATAAGGATTACTTGAAAGTTCAGAACACTTGGAATTTCCGAAAAGAAAAATAGAAACAAGAACCAGAAGTTCAATAAGTCATTGAACCCCTATCAGAGTAAAAGAAGAACTACAGTCATCTTTCTTCCTTTCTTTTTTCCTCTCAGGAATGATAAAATGAAACAAGGAGATTGCAATCATCCACAATAACGAGAAATGACCTACCCTGGAAGAAACTTTAGAAGAGCCACTGTTGAAACGGAACCGAGAAGAGCTCCAGCTACTGACAACGCCAAACACTTGAGTTTCTCCTCCATTTACAGGTATTCCCTAGTTTCCCCTCTTTTCTCAGCGGCCAAACAGGAGCGTTGAGTTTTACTTCGAGCCTCGGGGTTACCGTGTTCACCTCGTATTGGAAGCAATGGCGTTTCTAACTTGAATTTAAAAAAAAAAAAAAAAAAAAAATCTTCGTTTTTCTCCCTTATTTTATATGGGAACCTTTTTGAATAAATTTCTTCTTAAAAAATATTTTAGAACAAAATATTAATTTAATTTATGTATAATTTGAGATATTTAAATTAATTTTTATATTTTTATTTATTATTTTAATTCTTATATTTTTTTAAAAAAATTATTTTATTTAAATATAATAAAGATGTCACATAAATTTATATTAGTTACGCGATACATTTTAAGTAAATTATCATTTATGTTAGATGTTACATATTTAATAATATCATTGATATTGAATGTAAAACATAAATAAGCTGTTAGATGTTATATATCTGATAATATCGTTGATATTGAATGTAAAATTTGAATAAATTAAGCGCACATGATATTTCTATAAATATAGTTAATAATTTAAAATTAAAAATAAATACTAAATAAATACTTTAATCAAATTTATTATATTATTTAAATTACATTTACGGCATATCAATTGAAAATTTATTTTAAAATTTAATTTGATCATATATGTAATAACGTTAAGGGATTTGACTATATCAATTTAATTATATTAAAAATTATAATTAAATAATTACTATAATTTTTAATTAAAAAAATTATATTTTACTTATACAATTAATTAAAAAATGTAATCTTTTAAATGTTAATCCAGCATAATCTTTCAATGGGTAATTAATAAAATTTTTAATTTTTACTAGGTTTAATAAAGAGAGAAGGTGGTTCCAACATTCAGTTAAAAATATTATTTGATGTTGTTATATAAAAAACAAAGAATAAAAAAATTAGTTAATAAAATTTTAATCATAATAAAATTTTTTAGTTTAACAAATCACTATAATTTTCAATATATATGTTAATTCCATCTAAAAAATAAATACATATATTAAAATATTCATAACCATAGAAAAAAAAATTAAAAATATATCTATAATGTAAAAAGATAAAATTCACTAATATTTAAATTTAAAGTTAATGGTATGATTGTAACACCCAATATTTAATTTTTAGATTTATATATATATAATTATTTATTAATTAAATTTATTTTATTTTATTTTATTTTAATGAAAAAATAATAATAATAGTAATAAAAAGAGTGAAAAAATTAGTTAAGAATTTAATTGAAAATAATTTTAAGAAAAATGAGTGAAATTTTGGATTTTTGGATATTTTTGAAAGAAAAATCGGAAACCGTAGGTTAAAACGTAATTTAGAAAAATTATGTGTCAGATGCCCGGTCAGCAGCCCCGACCAATCAGGACGCGCCAGGTGGCAGAGGCACTGACGCAGGAGGCCACGAGGGGGGAGTCACGTGTGCGATCCGCATGTGCGCAATCGAACGGCTGAGGTCCGTTCCCACGCGCACAGACAGCCCAGATTGAAATCGCGCATGGACAGCCAAGATTGAATCGTGCACAGACGGTTCAGATTGAATCGCGATGAACGACCCAGATTCACTCTCTATTTAATCGCGATCGGACGATCCAGATCAAAAGCAATGGACGGTCCAGATCAAAAGCGGATGGGTATAAATAACCTCATCCGCACCCAAACCCTAACCCTAGCCGCCAGAGCCCCTCGCCGGAGAAGACAACCCAGTCGTCGGGGAGTCGACCGCTGCCACCCGCCGCCGCACTGGAATCTTTTTCGACCCCACAAGAAAGGTAAAAATTTCTCCTCTTGCACGAAATTCAATTTGAAACCCACCTATGGCTAAATCGAAGTGAAAAAACCAGCTAATTGACCGAAAAATGCCGCCGAAGCTCGGCGACACCGTCACGGAAAATTTCACAAACTGCCTCCGATGAGACCCTTCCCGATTTTCGTTTTGCGAAATTTTTTCACCGTTGTGATCACCGTTTTCTTATCTACAGGTTGACCGGAGTAAAACACCCAACTGCAATGTGAGCTAGAGGAGCCGCCGCACCGGAGAGCTCCGCCGCTAGTGAGTTTCAGTTTTTTACGTTTTTTCGGCCAACCGAGGGCTCTAAGTGTTTTTTCTCACAGGAACCGATACAAATTTGGCTGAATTCGGCCGAAAACAGCCTACCTGAGGCAGATCGTCGTCGCCAGAGCACGGCAGAGCTGCCGTGCCGAATTTTCAAAATTGGCCGAGTAGGCCCTGGGTCTGATTTTTGGGTTATTTGGGATATTTGTAGGTACTGTAAGCGTGTTTTAGTTCCTGAAGAAAAATTCAGGGAAATGACCGCCCATAGGTGCAGTAAACCATTTAGCTTTTCGACGGTAAGGAGCCATCACCCTATTTCCTATCATATAACTGAAGTTTGAATAAATAATAATACGATAATTTGTACAAATTAAATAGATGTGCATAATTAATTACGGATTGCTAATGGAGATCAAATCAAACATTGTTCTTTATTGATTTCTGTTGATTTATTTTACAGTTTAAAAGCATGACGATATTTGATTTATATATTTTATCGTTTAAATGCATGTATTACTGCCTTACTTGACCACTGTTTGATTTTGATATTTGAGATATGATTGCATTACCGAATGCATGTTCATTGTTTATGCGATTATGTTTGATTTAGTAACGGAGACTAAGGAAAAACAGGAAAGGGGTGTGATATAATAAACAGATAAGATGACAGCTTCACTAGGTATCTTGGGAGATGGTGGACAAACCAGGTTCATAGGAACCCTACCGTGAATGTTATCTCATACCAGACGGGGTATGGAGACTTGGTCATTTAGCGTTCATACCGGACGGGGTTTGGGGACGACCCATTTCACCCTCATACCGGATGGAGTATTGAGGTTTAATGTCTCGATGC